ATAAAGCACTTTGCTTTATTGTTGGCCTTGATCCAGCGATCATAAGGCTCCCTTGCGGTTTTAGATGCATTAGTCGCGGGTTCTTGAGGACATTCCTCTACTAGGATAAATTTGTAGTCTTTGCATACCAATAGTATGTTCATGTTACTTTTCCACTTAGTGTAGTTATCACCGTTTAGTTTTTCAGTCGCAAGTAGTGTGATTATAAGATTCGACATGTTGCTGGAAATAAGTAGAATATTTATCTAATTAATTTATGTGCATGAATATCAAAAGCATATGAATTTAGGCACAATTAAATATGATGCATGATGCACATGAAAAATACATAAATCATGTTTTAATTTTAGGTGCCAACGATAATCTAATTTTCCACGTATAAAGTGTACCTTTAGGTAGTCAAGTTATATGCCAATTAGACCGACACTCTTCTCAGTTAATAAAAATATAGTCAAAATATCTCATATTTTCATATTTATTAACTACCGTTATTTTGGTCAAAATATAATCAACAAATTCAATTATATTTTATGAGTGTAACCCACCATTTCAGATCCCATAGATTTAACTTCGGATTGCTACCTTTGGGTAGTCAATTCAGAAATACATCCTGAAATCCTATCTCTAGGAAGTCAACCTTGTTATTGATCCGGTAAGAACACTCTCCTTTAGGAGGGCGATTCAATGTCGCTGCAAAGCCCCTCTCCGGATCTCACGGTGTTGCACTAACGGTGGAGACCAGTGGGTCGTATTGTCATACAACCCTCTCCCACTCATTATTTTGTAAATATGTATTTTGTTTGAAAAACATCTCATGGTTTTCAAATCGAAAAATAAACAATTTATTTTTCAAATATGTGAAATTTCAAAATTTAACTCTTAAATTCAATTTCACATGTAACATTATTTTACAAATCAATTTTACAACTTAAATCAATTTAATCATATTAAATCAATTTTAGCGCATGGTTCTTATTTTATTTTATTTTTCTAAAACCCTTTGATAATAAATAAAATAAATAATAATAAATGCGCGTGTATGCATGGCATGTTATAAAACATATGAGTAGGCACAGTATATCTATATGGCATGTTATATGCATGGACATATAATATATAATTATCAACATAAAATATAAATATATGCAATCGGCTATTGAGATGGATTTGACCAGGTCCCATGGAAAAATAAATTACAACCCAATCGAATAAATAAATAATTACAATAATTATTTTCTTCCGTTACATCAACGGGTCTTCGATTCTTGAATTCTTTATTCTTCGGCTTCATTCTTTGTCTTCGGGTCAGATTTCACCTTCTTTAGGGTCTGAAACTTTTCTGGGTCCTTCGGCACGCATTACGAGGGTTTCAGAAACCCTCGGGCCCGTTCGGGTCCATTTGATCGCATCTGGGCCCATAGCCGCATGCCTAGGTGCGCGCGTGGGCAGTCTGACCGCGCGGACTATCCGCACACTGGGCGCGCGCTGGCCTGGTTTCTGGGCGAATTCTGGGAACTTTTCTGGGCAGATAGGAAGAACTTCATACTTGATCTTCTAGGCCTCCTTTTGATTCAAAATCAAAATACCCTAATTCTACCCAAATCCTAAAATTATAATAATTCTAATCCCGAATTAAAATACAAATTATTTATAATGAATGAATATAACCGATCCATGGAACCATATAATTAACGACCAAATCCATCATCCATACATTCATCAACATGAATTAAATATAAACATCCATAAATGCAAGTGCCTACCCATCACATACATACATAATTAAATACCACATATTTAATATATTAATTTTGATTATCAAATAATCAAAGCATAAATTAATATCGTCTATAAACCGCTCTGATACCAATTGTTGGTTACCGAATCGAATTCGGATGCGGAAGCATGGGGGAGGCGGATCAAGTATAATAAAAATTTTCACAAAACTTGTGAGATACTCTATAGATTATATTAATTTATGCACGAATAAATTAATCATATTAATTTATATATTAAGAACTCAATTAGGAAAAATACCTAGAGGCCGACTCGGTTGATAACTTGAGTTCTTTGACCTCGAATGACCCTTGCTCCAAAGCCTTGTGTTTAGAAAACTAAAGTCATCCACGTCAATTCCTTGAATCTACTAGACATGTGTGTGGGCACACTTGAGACAAAATCAGGTTGGAACAAACACTCGAATTTCCACAAACACCAACGCATGCACGATGTGGAATTTTTGGGAGAAAAATTTTTCCTTCTCTCTTTTCTTGGGAATTTGGCCAGCCCCAAAAATTAGGTCAAAAAATTGTCACGCGTAATTTTTATCATATCTTATTTATAGAGTAGAAGTCAAACTTCTATAAGGAATCAAATCTCTCTCTCCTATTTGAATTTGGAACAAAAATTCTCCTCTACCTTATATCCTTGTGGCCGGCCAACTCCAGGGTTTCTATCCCTATGTGTGGCGCCAATTCCAGATAGGGAAGGAAGAGAAAATCATTCTTTATCCTGTAGTCCAATTTTAAATCAAATTCAAATTCGAATTTAAGTCAAACTTAAATTAATTTGAATTCTAAATTGAACAACTTATCAAATAAGTTTAAAAGGATAAATTTAAATTATGTTCATGATTCAAATTCAAATTTAAATAATCACATTATTTAAATAATAATTAATTATTCTTAATTAATTATTTTT